AAAAGTAAGCTCTAGGCCCAACATGGAGCTTTAACTCACGATCCTAAGGGTCACATGCTCTACTGACTGAGCCAGTCAGGCGCCCCCATTTTCATTTCTTTTAAAATATTAAGCAGATTCTCACTTTGCCAAGGATTTCCTTTGTTCTTCAGGCCAAAAACCCGTGAAAAGATATTCCACCCCAACAAAACAGTTTAGCACAAGAAAGTCTCTATTCCATCCCATCCCACTGTCTCCCAAGAAATGATGCTGGATTTTTCTTTTTTTTTAAAGATTTTATTTATTTATTTGACAGAAAGAGACACGGCGAGAGAGGGAACACAAGCAGGGGGAGTGGGAGAGGGAGAAGCAGGCTCCCCGCAGAGCAGGGAGCCCGATGCGGGACTCGATCCCAGGACCGTGGGATCATGACCTGAGCTGAAGGCAGTCGCTTAACCAACTGAGCCACCCAGGCGCCCTGATGCTATATTTCTTGAACTCTGTGGGATCTAATAATAATATAAAACTATTAGGGATAGAAGATGATTGGCATAATGCCAAAAAAGATGATCATTATTTAATTCCCTTTTAATAAACAGGGAAGTTGACAACTAAACAAGTATAGAAGGAAGCATCGAAAGTAACCCAAATTTAATAAAATCTTCTCCAACAAATAGAATCTGGTATCAGATTCCTTCTTCAGATAATCATCATTTCCCTCAGTTGGAAAAAGAAGTTTTGACAGAATAGGGAGTTTGGTGGTGATAAATCTGGAAAGCAGGCTTGGATAAAACATTTTAGGCATACAAAAGAAACAAGAAGTCTCAGAAGCAGGATAAAGAAATCCAGAAAGAGGAAAGAGATTCAAAAAGAAAAGTCTAGAACTTCACACAAAGGTTCTTGCTTTGCTATGGACTGAGTATCTGTATCCTCCAAAATTCCTATGTTTGAGCCCCAACCCCATAGGGCCTTTATGGAGTCAGCAATGAAGATAAGATGAGGTTTTAAGGATAAAGCCCTGATCCAATAGGATTAGTGTCCTAATGAGAAGAGACAAGAAAACTTATGCTTTCTTGCTCTTTATCTCCTTCCTTCCTGTGAGGAAACAATGAGAAGGCAGTTGTCTGTAAGCTAGAGCCCTCACCAGGAAGTGAATGAGTTGGCACGTTGTTCTTGGACTTCCCAGCCTCTACAACTAAGAGAAAATAAGCGTCTGTTGTTTAAGCCATGTCGTCTATCGTATTTTGTTATGGCAGCTCAAGCAGACTAATACATGCCTGCTATATAGTTTTCCCCAGAGGAACCAATGAATCTCTTTTGAAAAAACAAAACCCATCAATACCTAAATTATCAGGATTAGTTTGGAAGGCTATACAAAAGTCAGCTTCCTTCAATTCAATTCAGCCCAGACTCTTGAGACTAGAGAAGTCCAGGCCAGTTTTCTATCTCTTTTCCACTGAGAGGAAGAAGGCAAGAAAAAAAGAAAAAAGAACATGAGCTCATGGGTCCTCCCTGCCGTGGCATAATAATGAGGTGGTACCACTAGACAGTGACCAACCTGGTCACCAGACTTTTAGAACGTATTTGCCAGGAAGATCTGCTTTTAAAGCAAAAACGACAAGTTCAAATGCCAATAATTAGTATATGTGTTTTAAGTACTATGTCACATAGTAACAATTTACTATAGCAGTGTCCCAGAGTTTGCAGTTTTAAATATTTATGGTATCCATGAAAACTGTTATGGCAAAATCCTGAAAAAGATTAGTACAGATATTATTTTAGAAAAAAACACAAAAACTTGTACTTAGCACTATCGAAAATACGCTTTGCAGAAATAGTTCATAAATAAGATGTTTATAATTCAAGTCATATACTAAATAAAACGAGTCATTTTGAGAGAAATAAATTTTTATTTTTTTATTTTATTTTTTTAAAAGATTTTATTTATTTATTTGACAGAGAGAGACACAGCGACAGAGGGAACACAAGCAGGGGGAGTGGGGGAGGGAGAAGCAGGCTTCCTGCAGAGCAGGGAGCCCCATGCGGGGCTCGATCCCAGGACCCTGGGATCATGACCTGAGCCGAAGGCAGACACTTAACGACTGAGCCACCCAGGCGCCCCGAGAGAAATAAATTTTGAAAGTGTTACTGCAAATCCTTTACATTTATTCAGTAAATAACCCTCTGACATAAAATATACTTTTGATAAACCCACTATTTGCTAACACTGTGAATCACAATTATTTCCTAAAAATCAGATTTTTTTTTCTTCAAGATTTTACTTATTTATTTGACAGAGAGAGACTCAGTGAGAGAGGGAACACAAGCAGGGAGAGTGGGAAAGGGAGAAGCAAGATTCCCGCAGAGCGAGGAGCCCGATGTGGGGCTCGATCCCAGGACCCCAGGATCATGACCAGAGCCGAAGGCAGATGCTTAATGACTGAGCCACCCAGGCGCCCCATTACAATCACATTTTTGATATATAGCATTTGTTTAAACTAAGGAAAACAAATCAAAGCTCTGTGCCTTCTCTAATGTATTTAAATATGCCTTACCTAGTAAAGAAAATTGTAGCTTCTGCATCTGTAGTTTGCGGTTGAAGTGCATCTCTAACATATTTCAAGTCTTGAATACTTGTAAGTTCTGGTAACCCTGAAGGAATCATCTATAGAAAGGGAAAAAGAGTTTGTGAGTTACACTTTTTAAAAGTCTGTTCCCCACCCATCCCTTAAAAGCCGGCCAAGTAATTAGAACTAAAGCAAATAAAACAAAGTTTTGAGGAATTTATATTAGTCTTATAAGGACCTAAGTGATTCCGTTATAAATGAGAAAAACCGAGGTCAAGTCAGTCAATTGTTGGAAGTCATGAAGCCAGTTTATGGAATAAAACCTGTGAAATCCAGACCTTTTGTCAAGTCCTTTTTTTTTTTTTAATCAAGTTCAGCCACAATAATCCTAGCAAAAGTTTAACTTTTAACTTAATACATATCCAGAAAAGTATAGAAATCTGAACACACCCAAATTAAGACACAAAATATGTTCCAGCATCCCAGATGACTCTCTCAGGGTCCCTTTCAGTTACTTTTACTCCTCACCCCCACAGTAGATTTGAGTTTTGTATTTTATATAAATGGTGTCTGGCATATTTTACATAGCAGCAATTTTTGAATATTTTGGTAATAATATTTCTGATATTTGAGACTACAGTAAATTTTATTCCAAAATATCCTTTAGATATTGAAACACAGAGCATTAATGTAAATTAATTAAAGGCTTGTAAAAGAACATAGTTACCAGTGAAAGGAGGTTAAGAAAGAGGTTTGTCTGCTTTCTTATTAAGTTGTAGGCCTGACAGCAGAGGTCCACAAACAACTGGAAACGAATGGTAGGCTTTTCACCCCCATTAATGACATATGCCATATCAGAGGTCAGCACAAAAGGAGCCCGATCCCTATTTAAAAAGAAAGTACACAACACGAAGTATTATTTACAGAAGATATTCAAATAGTGCTTTTGTTACCACATGGTTATTCAACTAAGCTATCTGAGCCGTAACAATTTCCAACTGGGAAATTTAGAATCAGGCAGGTTTGAATCTGCATTAAAACTTATAAATTTTGCATTTTCAGGAAAGCCATCATATAATCAATCTCATTATTTAGATAGAACACATACATGAATTTTTTCCAAGATGGTATCTATAAACCCACACATTCAAATAGAGATCAAACAGTAGTTACAAACGTACAGAGAGAAAAATTTGGCACTCACTACCATTATACAAATGGGAACATTTCTAATATGTACCACTAACTAGTTAAATACACCTTAATTCATTTCAACAAAGGTTACTACATACACACACACACTCTTATCTACTACATGGTCAAGTCATCTCTTAGGGTCTTTTTTAATCCCTAGTCATACTCAATGGGAACTATAAGGCAAAGAACAACAAGAAAGGAGGCAAGTTTGGGAACGTTAATTTGTGAAAAACTGCCTTTTTAAAAAAATAAGTTGTGTCCAGGGGCACCTGGGTGGCTCAGTCAGTTAAGCATCTGCCGTTGGCCTGGGTCATGATCCCGGGGTCCTGGGATTGAGCCCCGCATTGGGCTCCCTGCTCGGCAGAGAATCTGCTTCTCTCTCTCCCTGCCGCTCCCCGCCTACCCCCTGCTTGTGCTCTCTGTCAAGTAAATAACACCTTTAAATAAAATAGTTGTGTCCACTAATTAAAATCAATGTTATGGCTAAATGTGTCAAAAGAAAGGTTCCTCAAAATACACATAGATATCAATCTTCAATAATATTCTGATCCTATCGAAATGAAAACATCTTTAGCATTACTTGAAATGACTGAACTTGAAATCAATGAATGACCTCTTGAATTAATCTGAGAAAGCAAACCAACAACTTCAGCTTTCTTGGGAAGAAAAAAGTGGACAGAGAAGGAATACTTAGATTGTAAAGAGATTGACATTAAAATCATCAAAAACTTAACCATTGTGTGGTAAGAGAAGTCTATTTCTGTTTCCTTCAAGTAAAATTATGGAAACTCTTCCAGATATATATACACATGATGGATGGATACAGATAATTTTATTAATACCTTTTGAAAAGTGATCCACAATGTGGAAATCTGCTTCAGAATTACCTGGAGTACTTGTTTTTCTTTTTTTAAGGTAGGCTTCACACCAAAGTGGAGCTTGAACTCACAACCCTAAGATCAAGAGTTGCATGCCCTATTGATTGAGCCAGCCAGGCACCCCCTGAGGTACTTGTTTAAAAAAAAAAATGTGCCCCCTTTTCTTTAGCAACAATAATAACAATATTAGTACCTTTTGAAGCTACCAAACATCTGTGCATGGCCCAAAAACTTTCCAAAGTCAATGTGAAACATGTGTCCTGTGCTTCGAAGCATTATATTATCATTGTGTCGATCACAGATGCCTAGAACATAGGTGGCTACACAGCATCCAGCACAAGAATATATAAAATTTTCAGAAGCCTATAATAAAGATATAAAATTATTTTAGAAAAAAAACTATTTTTAAAGGAGGCAGGTTATAAAGATTAAAGTAATTCATCACCCTTTGAAAAAAGTATTGTAATTCACTTTTTCAACAACTTATAAACTGGGTTATGGTAACAAAAGCCAGCCTTGTCGTATTTCAAAAACAAAACACCCTTCTAAAGGTGGTTACTGCCCCATATCTCTAGGTATTGTCTTTTAACAGGCAGATACTGCCAGTCCCTACTTAGGGTACATGCTGCCTTTGAACATCTTTTAAGAATCATCTTTGTGGAACTCTGCTCCTCACAGGCTCTGCTATTTAGTAAAAGTGGTGGTAACACTGTGACAAAGATTAATCTGAATAAAAGAATATTTTTCCCTTTTTTGGCTTATATAGGGAGGGCATGTATGAAGAAAGTCAGCTTGTATCTTTAAACATACAATAATATAATTAATGTGTTTTGTTCACTCCTTATTTCATCTCCAAGTTTTTCAAAGCTGGAGATCTTCTTTCACTTCAGTCTTGCCTGCCCTGGGGATTAAATTACTAACATAGTATCATATAGAAGTATCATTATATACATCTTGCTGTATATAATGAGTATATATTGATGTATATAATGAGTTTTATCTAAAGCATGTGCATTTAGTTTATTCTCAAGAAACTACATTTCTGAATGGAGCAGTCATATGGCTCTATGTGTCCATGTGGTTATTTCATAACTCCCCAGAAATCATTACTGATAATGCTAAGAGCAAATGTTTACATAGCACTTATCACAAACCAGGCACTACACTACTCTTTCTACACACCTATACACACACATGCACGCATATGCACACTATACGACATAGGTCTGATTATGATTGTCATTTTACATATGAGGGAAACTGAAACATAGAAGTTCTTTGCCCAAGATCACATAATTGTTAAGTGGCAGACCCAAGATTCACCCCAAGCAATGTGACTCCTTTATGTTATATTCTCTCTTAGTAAAGGGCATTAAGAGTCAAATGCATAAAAGGCACTCAATGTGTGTTACTAGACAATTATTTTGTGTCAAACCACTTTCCCAGAACCACAAAAGAGCCAACATTACTATAAATAAGTATTGGCTTCTGCTGCACTGCTTTCCCCACACCACAAGTAAGAAAAGGGAGTGATCTTAAACAGTTGAAAAGACTAACAAAGGGCAAAATTCCTCTACCTTCTTAGGTCAACAGACAGAACTGGTACGTATCTGTAAATATATTAATGACTTGACATATAGTAGGCAGGCAAATGACATTAAAACCGAGATTTCCTTACATTGCCATTGAAAGTGTTCTTGAGGGGAAAAAAAAAGTGTTCTTGAGTCTTTCTTAGACCACTTTAGGATCATTAGAGGCCTTATGTCCTAAGAGATTTCCCTTTCCCTTTTTCCCCCATTTTTTTTTTTCTTAAGTAAACTCTGCTCCCCACCCCACCCCCACTGACATGGGGCTCAAACTCACAACCCTAAGGTCATGGGGCACCTGGCTGGCTCAGTCGGTTAATTGTCCAACTCTTGGTTTTAGCTTAGGTCACGATCTCATGGGTGGTGAAATTGAGCCCTGTATTCGGCTCCGCACAGTGGGGAGTCTGCTTAAAGATTCTCTCTCCTTCTCCCTTCTCCCTCTACCTTCCCCCCCACCCCCAACTGGGGCACTCACATGCACTCTCTCTTTTAAAAAAAAAAAAAAAAAGGCACACACTACGACTGAGCCACCCAGGCACCCTGAGATTCCCTTTCCTATTACAGAATTCAAAAGTATGCTAAAACAAAAAATTGACACTTCTAATAACAGCTATCAACTACAGAATTTACTCTGTATAGGGCTTTCTATATAAACTCATCTAATTCTTACAATAGCCTTGTAGTGCTATTATTTTTTACAGCCATAATATGTACTATAATACCAAAAAAAAAAAAACTACTATAATGTATACTATTTTATATCCCAGGTCACTGAGCCACAAGAGAGGTTAATAATTTGCCTAAGGCTCAACACCTGGTGCTAAGTTCAAGATCAGAGTCTGGCCATAATTTTCCTCTCATCTCCACACAATGCAGCCACTCTTACTTATTTCCATAACTTTTCCCAAGATCTTTGTGAAATATCATATTCTGGGTCATAAAAATACCTCTATTTTGCTGGCCTCTAAATGCATACTTGGAATGTTTTGGGGGTAATTTAGCATTGGTTTCACTCAGATTCTTACCATTAAGTGCACTGTTTATATATAAACATATATATATTTTTTTTTTTTTTAAACTTAGAGAAAGACACTGTTTTCACAACTTAGACTACATGGCTAGTCACCAGAGCTGGAAAATGAAAGCACTTATGGCCTATGTAATACATTTTTGACAAAGTTGTCTGGAATAAGGAGACTTGCCAATCACCTTTTCATATTCCTCTTCAGAAGGATTGTATTTCCTCAACCACTCTGCAAGTGGTTTATCTTTAAAGGATCCGGTCACACCATATTCCACTTGGATTTTCCTGAGGGTATCTGAAGCAGGAACTAGCTCCACCATACCTTTAACAACAAAACATTAAGCTATGCAAAAATATCTCCCCAAAAGTAAGACTTTAAAAAACGTAAAGCTTTCAATCTTTGACATAAGATATCAGTTAGGAATTATTAAAAAAAAAAAAAAAATCAAGTCTGGTAGCCCATGCTAGAAAATCTGAGCAATCAAAATTTTTTATTTTCAGAAGTACCCAAAATATAACAGTTCAATTTGACTTTGAGGTTCCATAATCTGTACAACCATGTGCGACCCCCCGCCAAGAATAACAATTTTAATTACAAACTAGATGATACTGACTTAGCTAATAATGTTACATAGTTAATAAACTTACTCTGATCATGTATTTGGGCAATGATGGAGTGTTTCAGAGTACACTAAGCCCTTTCAAAGGGAAGAACAGATTAAGATTGCCCCCGCTGCTGCCCCCCGCTCGTGCTTTCAGATAAATAAATTCTACTACATGCTACATTTACTATGTGCATGTATTATTTCTATAATCAAAAAATTGGTTTTATATATTTTCAAAATCAAGGAGATGCACTGGTGTCAAAATAAAAGATAAGGACACAGAGACCTGCTTCAGCCAAAGGACTGGAAGAAACCAAGTTGGCCAAGGCCTTCAGACCACCCCAAAAGAAAGTATGCAGGGCCAGGTTATAATCCTAGTCGTCTGGTCACACAATGAACAATGAATTCATTTGGATCTTTTACGTTGTTTTGGTTGCATCGTCTAGTTTAGAGTTCACAGTGACAACCTTTTTTTTTTTATTCTTATGTTAATCCC